CATCGTCGTGGCGCATTGCCATCTGCCCCACTATATAAATTCCAGCCCTGTCCATAGTAGTCATCCTTAGGTCCATTTCTCCTCTCCGCACCACGCCCGCCATGGCCTCCTCGCGCTCCAAAGCCCTTTGGGACAGCCTCTCGTCCGAGTAGAAGAAGGAGATAACCGCCAATGTTGTCGGCAGGCAGACGGAGCCGGCGGCATGCCCATCGGCTCTGGCGAGGCCCGTGTGCACTACACAGACATGCTGCAGGAGGAGCAGCAGGCTCAGTTCAGATAGGTGTAGGCCGACCAGGCCTACAACCGCAGCCTCCTCGAGGAGCACCCGCGTGCGGAGGAGCAACTCATAGCCGGCACGTACATCCTGTCGGACAATGATGTGGCGGAGCAGGAGATGCTGCTCGACTCCTACCGCTCCACCGGCAACATCCACCGTGACCGCTGGCGTCACCGGCAGTATCAGGCGGAATTGGTGGCGCCTACACGACGTTCGACGAGGCCGTAGGTGAGGTGAGGGGCAAGAGCGACGATGAGGAGGACATCGCCAGCTCTGCCATGGTCGGGCCCCGCGGTCACAATCACAAATCCGGCATGTTCGGTTTATATGAAAATTGTAATGAATTTCATCTGGTTTATATGAATATCTGCCGTGTTTGCATGAATCTCGTCGGGTTTATATGAGAATCCACTGTGTTCGCATGAAATTTCGTCGAGTTAGTTCAAACAGTGGATGGAATGTATGCGGGCCAGCGTTGGTTGGTCGGTTCCCGCATCAGTGTCCGCAGACTGGTTCCCTGTGTCCGTGGACGGATTCCAGAGAATATTTGAGGGTTGGTGTTGAAGATGCCCTAACATCCTTCTTTTTGCAAGGTGCAACTGAACAACTTAAGTCTCAAAACTCCTAAGGGCGCCTCTGATTTACCGAAATATGAGGTCCTAGTGTACAATATAATGCTTAAGGGCATCTCAGATAATGACCCGCAGACAGGCATCCATCCACGAACACTAATGCGGGAGCCGACTATTCATAACTATCCCTTATATGTCCGACAGTAAAAGGAAATTTGAAATTCAAATAGGTCTGATCCATAGTGCGTGCCAGATCACACTGGTGCCGGATCACATCATATCCCGATCACAACCAAAAAGATGCACATATGCTTAGTTTTTAAATTTCCGATCACAAAAGAATATCAGTCCGGCAGTCCATGTAAACAAATAAACTTTCTGTTTTGCCGGACCGGCAATCCGAGCCTCCACGCACATACTGCCATCGCCATCGTCTCGGGCGCCGCCGCTGCCTCCTTATCCGCCTTGGCCGCCCTCTCCAACTCATCCTTCTTCCACTGCTTCAAACAAACAACTTGCACGATCATTCTTGCGTCCTCATCTAAATTCTCCATCTTCAAGCTTAGTATCTTCACGTCGTCTGAGGCACTCTGATCACCACCTTCTTCTCCTCGAGCTTGATCTTCTTATCTTCAAGCATGGTCTTCCTCTCTCGGAGCTTGAGCTTCTTCTCACTTGCCATCATCAAAATGTTAAACCTCTCGGCATTGCATGCCTCCTTGGCGTCCGAGCGCTACGTATGCCTCGTCTATCTTCGTCAAGATGTCTTCGAACCTCTCTATCATCTTAGCTTGCGTACCTTCTCGCTTCGTCCTCTCATCCTCCCACTTCTTTCCCAGGAAGCCTATTCTAACCTTCTTGGGCGATTCTTTTGTTCGGTCGGTTGGATCACCGGTTTATTCCTAGGTGTCTTGGGTAACGGTCTTGGCAATGTATAGGTTTCACTTGGGCTGTGTACTCAATTTCAACCAACAATGCATGATGGTGAAGGTTTTCTTCTCCAACTTCAAGAACACACTACACGCACGGGAAGGCTACAAAATAAAACATTGTCAACAATGCATATCCGGCTACAAATGATTAACAAAACAATGCAAATCCGACTACAAATGATCAACAAAACAAAGTGTATCCAACTACAAATTATGTACAAACAATGCATATCCGGTTGCAAATAATCAACAAAATGGTGCATATCTGGGAAGTGATTTACAAAACTATGCATATCCGCCTATAAATTATGTACAAGAAAATGCATAGATATCCTGCAAGAAATGATGTACACAACAATGCATATCCGGCTACAAATAATCAACAAAACATTGCATATCCGGACATAAACTATGTACAAAACAATCATGCTACATTTTTTTACAAAATAATGCATATCCGGCTGAGAATCATCAAGAAAACAATGCATAGCCGGCAAGTGATCTAGAACAATATGCATATATGCCAAAATGATCTACAAAACAATGCATATTCGGCTGCAAATCATCAACAAAACAATGCATATACGGTAAGTGGTCTATAAAACTATGCATATCCACCAAAAATGATCTACAAAACTATGCGGCTACAAATGATCTACAAAACAATGCATATTCGGCCAAATGATGTACACATATTAACAACTTACTGGCTCGGTGATTTGTGCACTACTAGGCCTCCGTGCGATGAGTTGTCTCAAGCGCCCGCAATACTTAGACACAGCCTCTTGGATAACATCGAGTAAATAGCACAAACTACTATTTTATAGGCTAGCGTTCCAAAAAACTACCGGTTTTTAATTTTCCTCATATAACTACCAAATGTGTGGTCGGCTGTTTCAAAAAAACCAAATCGTCGAGTCTTTATCAGCTGATCAGGATTATGACAAGTCGGGCCCGCATGTAAGATAACCGTTTGTTTGACCGTTTACTTTGACCGTTAACTTACATGTGGGTCTTGCATGTATGTTTTTTAGAACGCAATCGGGTCCCTGTAAGTTTTACGAAAAAAGTGAATTTTCTGAAAAAGCAATCGGGTCCCGACGGCAGCCAGGAGCTCGATCCCGCTCGGCAGGGCTGCGATGCTTCCTCCGGCCGGCGAGCCATGCCTGCAGCGACGGAATCCACGCCGCCCACCACCTGAGGCCGGCCGGCCGCGCCCATAGCGGCTGGATCCACGTCGGTCATCGCCTGAGGCCGGTGAGTCGCGCTAGCAGCGGCTGCTATGTCGGGCCTCGCCTGCAGCCGTCGCCACACCATGACTCCCCTGCCGCCTCGCCGTGCCTTGCCTGCGGCCACGCCATGACTTGCGACTCGCCTGCCGCCACACCGTGCCTCGCCTGCGGCCGCCACCATCCCCTGCCGCGAGCTCCTCAAGCTCGACGTGACGGCCTGCGCCGCTAGTGGAGTGCACACCTCCCGTCGCTGCAGACAAAGCCGGCCTTGTCGCCACCGTCGCCACCAGGAGCTCCGGCGAGCACCTACCACGACTGTTGGGACGCTGGGAAGGAGAGGGAGGGTTGTCGCCGGCTTGGGATGGGGGAAGGGGTGCCGGCTTGGGGGGAGGGTCGCCGGCTTGGGGCGGAGGGTCACCGGCTTGGGAGGGGAGGGGGTTGCCGGCTCGGGAGGGAAGAGGGCCGACATGGGAGGCACAGAGGAGGGAAGAGAAGAGATAGAGGAAGAAGAAAGAGAGGAGGAAGAGGAAACTTACATGTGGGCTCCACATAGTAGCCAACTATGCATCGCACAACAGCTCGTCCTCCCCATGCTGAAGCTTTCTTCTCTACCCCTCTTCTTTACATCAGCTGGATTATCATCCTCGTCGTCCTCCTCATCACCTTGTTGTCCATCCGCTCGATCCTGGTGCTGTGTGTCTGTGCCCAGCTAGGTGTATGTGCCGACTGGGTGTAGCTTACCTGGGTGCCCGTCTGAGTGAATGTTGCTAGACTAGGTGTACTAGGATCCCACTGGTGTACGAGCCGGCCTGGGTGGGCTTTGAGTCATCCACCTGCCAATCCCCATAGCAACCTCCTCCTCATCCGCCTTCCTCATGGATCATGTAGAAAATATCCATGTCCGTGTGGTAGTACGCCGACTCTCCTGCTTTAGGCATACTAGCGAACACCGTGCAGGCACCCATCAGCTTCCTGTCCGACGTCCGTGTCCAGACCAGCTGCGGCGATGAACATTCTGAGAAAAGCACCTCCATCATGTTGACGTCAACGGTGAAAGGCACATGCCACACGTCGGTTGTCGTGGACTGCCTACCGAGTTGCTTGGCCGTGTAGAACTACAGATCCTTGTAATGCTCGGGCCATGGCGGTGTATGCACGGTCGGCAAATATGGGGCCCCGACCTCCACCATGTCCGTGACCAAGAAGCCCACCGCCACGTATGCTACCCGCATGCCCTCTACCGGCCTTTTAATTCTTGGGTATTTTCGCCTTTGTGGCCTTCGCTTTAACGCAACGATTTTGCCGTGTCGCCGAATTGATTTTTCGGGCGAGCATGATGCTCGGATCCTCCACCATCTCCGTCTCTGGCAGGTTCTTCTCCGGGTCCATGCGTCGGCTGAGTGAGGGAAGAAGAGAGTAGGGTATTGGGTGGAGACCGAAGGGATGGAAGAAGAAAGTAGGGTATTTTGCCGCAGAAATAGTGCGTCCAGGTACAAAAGTCCGGGCTCCGCCTTACTTTTGGTGGGCATGGGGTGTCTGAGACCTACGTGGCTTGTGTCCAGGCTCCGGAAAAGCCCCCTTGGTTTTGTTTCGGCTTTGATGAAAAATTATGATCCGGACGGCTCCGTAGACTGATTGGAGGCGGTGTTGGAGGAGGGAGAGAGAGTGAGAGTGCCTCTAGAAGAGGTACTCCCTCCGATTCATAATAAGCGATTTAGTTTGAACTAAGGTTGAATTAAGCTTAGTTTAAAACTGCGACACTTGGCCGTTGGATCAAGATCTGTCGGTGGAGAGCAAAGTGGCTGAAACAAAAGAAAAAGATCAGTCGCCTAGTCGCTCCCATAAATACATATCGCGGGCGTGCTTCTCTCCATCATTCACGCAGACGCAATGGTAGCTAGTGCCACGAACGTAGTACATCTCTAGTTATAACGATCGTTGGCTCAAGTTATTACTAGCAAGTACACCAAACCTACATCGATATCAGATGGCCGAGCAGGGGAACAAGACGACGAGCTGGTGGAGGAGGTTCCGGTGGCTATACGCGGTGCGGTGCACCTTAGCGTGCGTGGTCACCATGGTGGCCGTGGCAGTGATCGTCCGGGCGGTGGTGGTGATGCTCCGCCCCGAGAAGCTCCAGCTGAAGCTCGCCGCCGGCCGCATAGCTGCCAACTACATACCGTCGCTGCCACCCCCGGGCAACGAGGTGTGGCTCAAGTTCGTCCTCAGGGCCTACAACCCAAGCGGGCGCGCCACCCTCGAGTACGCCAACGTCACCGTCCGGCTCACGGACGCGTCGTCGTCATCTTCTTCAGCGGAGGCGCCTACAGCGAGGATCGCCGAGTTCGACCTTCCGAAGCCCATCGACGTGATGCAGAAGACATTGAGCGAGGTGCTCGTGCCGTTGTCGCTGGTGCCGAAGGAGGACCTACCGATGCGGTACGTGCGCGCGCTCTACGAGGGGCGCGGCGTGGCCGACGCGGAGATGGAGCTGAGAGGGATCTTGTCCACCCACGTGGCGATGTCCACCACAAGTGTCCTCACCACGTACTACTGCTGGCCGGTGACCATCGCCGTCGGCCCGGGCGACTACGCCGCCGCCGACGTGGCCTGCTTCGACAAGTTGGACGCCCCGGCTCATGTGTGATCAATCAAGCGACCGGGCTAGGCTACCTGTCGACCAAGCTAGCTAGCTAGCTACCTAGCTAGGTATGGGTGTGGTACATGCCTCTAGACTGTAGTAGGCTCGATGATCCGTGCACGTTTGATGCGTTGCTATGCTGAGTATTTGCGCTGAATTAACATACCTTTTCTGATTCTCTACCGTGTCGATCGAGTTGTGAGCTTATTTTTTTAGTTGACATACCCCACAAGTATATTGCCAAATAATTTTGGAAATTTTTTAGTTTATTTGCAGGGATTACCTACTCTTAGTGCTTATTGCAGAGAACAACTATTGTCCAATTTTGCAACAAGGTTTAATCCAACGTTTACCACAATAGACATGATTCCTTTAGAGTGGTTGCCATGGAAAGTAGGTCCAATAAACCATATAATAATCATCCTAAAATTCATATTTTGTCGGCAAAATATTTAATCCAACGTTTACCACAATAGACAAGAGTTTTTGTTTTGCAACAATACCAAATGACACTGTATTGAGTAAAAATGATGTTTCATTAAACAATTGTTAGCTACACGCTAAAATTCATACACATTTTTTATAGTTACTAATTAAATAATTATTTTCCCCTTAATTTTGAAGGATATTTAGTGTTTAGTTAATTCTGCCACCCGTCAGAAATAATTTTCATCCCTCTAAATGATAGATTAGACCTGGTTGCACGAAATAGTCAGACTAAATCCCATTATTGGTTGGTCAGCCAACTATTGGAGACTCTCGTGGCCAGGATTGTGCTAAGCATCGGGCAAGTCTTGGGCCAAACACTAGCTACAGTGGTAAACTCACTACAGTACTGGAAGCAATTTATCCTCATGACCCAGGCCATGGCCCTGGTAGCCTTGGGCTTGTCGACGTCCTGATTGGAGATAAACGACTGGTCGTGGAAGCTGACTATGGTATCATCTATCGATATTGTTAAGAGTACATCCTAAAAAAAATATTGTTAAGAGTAAAAAGAAATCTATCGATATTGTTTGGCATCGGTGCTTGACTAGCTGTCCAGAGGGGTGTGGGCACCTCAATCCCCGATCAACAATGACAGTCGAAGTTGTCACATTACGCCCGTTGACCATGTCGATGCCCAAGAAAATGCTACGGCTAGTCTCTCCTTTTGTTGATTTATATTGTGTTACTGATTCGTATTTGGCCGCATCAATTTCTTGAATTCGATGGAATTAATTAGGCAGCAATTTTTTGTTTTATTCTCCCAAGTTGGTATGATGCACTGATTATGTGATGTAGATTTGATTTATCATGATTGTGCATGTGTTTGTGTAGTCATGAAGAGGAAAACAATGTATTCGTTTCTAAACAACTATAGACATATTAGATCTTCTTGATAGTCTTTCTGTTTTTTTGCGGGGGAGATCTTCTTGATAGTCATCAAGCCAAATTTATATTAATATAAAACGTATTCTCTAAAACCACGACACTTGTTTTGGATCGGAAGGAGTAACATTTTTGTAATGCCATTGGCCAGTTCCCGTGTCAACTAACAAAGGCCTTTATTTGCTTCTTTTTTTCCTTTCTTTCTCGGCCTCTTCTCAATAGAGATGTCTATCTCTTTTCTTTCTCCCTCTTCTTCATTTGCTCCTCCATCTCCGTCATGCTAGCTTCCTAATGTTTGAGTCTTTTCTTGCTCAAACAATTCAATCAAATGCTCTGCCAGTCAGCCCTATTCCACAATTAAAAGTTTCTCCATGGAACAGCCAATGATTATTATCAGCATAAACACGTTGATTAAACCACATTGTGACGGCTCAACTTACTATCGAGCTACGCGGATCCACTTGTCCTACACCGGTTGAATGCAGCTAGCGTACGCGCAGTTAGTTGCAACTTGCAAGCAGTGTCACCAGCAAAACTCATTGAGCATGCAATGCAATGCAATGCATGCGTAGTCACGTCCACACGCGGGCTCTACTAGCTAGGTGCGCTGCAAGTGTTTTACCCGCTAGCTCTGCTAGCTAGGTGCACTGCTGGCTGCCAATGTAGAGTAGTACGTACCAATGCACTTGCAATAAACTTGTTGCATCCTTGTTCTTCGCCATACCAACAGAGCTACTTCCTCCGTTCCGAATTACTTGTCTTAGATTTGTCTAGATACGGGGGTATCTAGTACTAAAATGAGTCTAGATACATCTATATCTAGACAAATTTAAGACAAGTAATTTGGAACGGAGGGAGTAATAGTAAATGACACCGTAAAAGACTCGCTCGATTAGCAGCTCAATACCACATCCATATAAAGAAAGACGCAGGCAGGCCGCGCTGCTGCAGCCTGCAGTGCACCTACCGAGTAGAGCCAGCGGGTGGACGTGAGGGCATCTCCAGCCGCGGCCCCAGGAAGGCCTCCCCAGGCGTTTTTTTTCTGCGTCTGCGCCGAAAAAATGGCCCAGTCGCGCCCCGAGGAGCCCGATTTTCGCCGGCCTGGGCCGAAAACAGCGCCGGCGGACCCAGGCCGAACCCGGCACGCTGGGGGGCGCCGGGGCGAACTGTTTTGGCACGAAAAAGCTGCGGGCCAACCGCATCAGGGACACAACGACTCGTCTTCCCCCAACTGCCTTGGTTCCTGCAAGAAGGCCGACGACGACGATGGCGGCGACGGCGGCGACGACTCCAGCCCCTTTCTTTTTTAGATTAGGTTAATGTAATGAAAATGCGTGAATTTCACTGAAATTTGCCATGTTTGGCCGAAATTTAACTAGTTTTTATCATAACTTCACCGAACGGTCCTTCTTTTTTTATTTTAATACGCGCCTGGGGGCGGCCCTGGGGCCGACGGCTGGGGACCGACTCGCCCCAGGGTCATTTTTTGCGCCGGCTCAGCCCCAGGCGGCGCTTTTAGACGCCCCTGGTGGGCCAACGGCTGGAGATGCTCTGACTACGCATGCATTGCATTGCATTGCAACCAAGTGCGCGTACGCTAGCTGCATTCAATCAGTATACGGGAAGTGGATCTGCCTGGCTAGATACAAGTGGAGTAGTAAGCTGAGCCGTCACAATGCTTGCAGGAACAACATCATTGCGATACTTGTTCTCTTTTTCAGAAAGAAATCAACAACCCGGCATATACATGAATATTGGTTCGAATCTGAAAACACCTACCTAGAAGACTACGTAGGAGTAAAACATACATGCCCCACTCTTATTGGTTGATTTCTTCATTCATGCCAGGAAACAAAAAACGAGGTGAGAGTTAATGTATCATGCCTAAATGTTTTGGATTATTTGGTTTCGTAAGGTGGCACTGGTATGAAGAGTTTAGTTGATGATGGCATTTGGCTAGAGGCAGATCAGATGCCTGTACCTGTTTCCATTGACAGACATGTGAGCTTCCATCACTCCGTAGCTACCTAGCTGCGGGAAGCACTATTTTTTTTTAAAGAACGTCCATAGCAGCCGAGCTACTCTAGCAAGAGCTAGTTTGTGACCGCGAAAGACTCCGCGTGCAGCTCGCATTGCTGCACTGCGGTCACACACAATTGATTGAACCAAACTACGGTACGTATACGTAAGCTTAGGCAAAATGTGGCTGCCACAAAAAGTATGGCTCGCAAAATAACCATCACAAGTGTGGCAAGATTTAACAAAAAGTTGAGCCTATGACATGTGGACCAGGTGGCTAGAAAAGTGTGGCAAACTATAAATATGGCAATAAACCAAACACATGCCTAAACTATTGTGGCACGACTAAGATTAGGCGTGGCAAGCTTAGGCTACAAACCAAACATGCCCATACTCTCTACAATTAACTCATATATACTGGCACTCGGGCAGGCATGCATGCATATGCATTGATGGAATGCCATCCATGTAACCGGCTGGGTCTCCAATCAATAAAACAACGTCTTTTAATCATCTCTTATCTTTTCAAAGGATTATTTTTAGTGGACCAACAACCCATTCAACCCAACGGGTTTCATGCTGTCAACACATGAGAGAAGAGCATGCTCCCACGGTGAGGACTGAGATATACGAGCAGCAAGAAAAACACTAGTATTATTGAGAAGATTGCTCAATACAATGAAACATAACAAGCTATTTAATAGTGAACACTGAATAATATTTGTATCGACCAACAAATCTCATTGTGTGTTTTTGTATTATCTTGAACTTTTGGATGAATTCACATTATGTGTTTTGTATATGTGTAATATTGTAAAGCCTCAGTTACAAAGTCTGAACCTACATGACAGAACCTAAAGCGAAACGAGAAACCCTAAACTTAAAAGGCAAACAATAGCCCTGATTGACTAGTCCTAACCCTCAATGGCAAACCTTAACCCTAGATGACCATCCATAAACCTAAGTGACAGACTCTGACCCTAGTTGACCTGCCTACCATTCAGTGGCCTCCATCGTTCGGTCTGCATCTAACGCAGCACAACCCTTCTCTTTCATCTCCAAACCTTGCCTTCTGTGGCGACGCGTGGCCGGCCGTGGCATCTCAGAGCTCGGGTTCCATCAAATCCGAGCGACGGTCAAAACCACAAGGCCCCATACCTGCACCAATCAAAATGTTGCCACAATTCCACCGGTGATGTCACAAGCAGCCGCAACATCCACTCTCCAGCTTGGTCCTGGCGAAGCCTCCTCGACAACACTGCTCCAGCCACGTCGTCGCCATCTCCAGCTCGGTGTCACTTCACTCTCATGTGGGAATCGACTGAAATGACCCACTATATTGGCAAACGTGACAAGATAAACAATATTGCCAAGAACCCGATAAGATTGATGAATATGATGAAACCAATGAGCTACTTAGAAGTTGTGTCAAATAAAGCCTGATATGTTTATTTATATTGTCGTGTGTCTCTGTGTGTGGGGTAGTAGTAGCAGCAGCAATAGCAGTGTAAACCCTAAACCTAAACCTACGGGACATAATCTAAATCTAAATGACAAACCGTAACCCTAATGAAGTTCCAGATGGAATTGTGTGATGTTTGCACTCGACACGTGTG